CCCATTCCCTCCCAGACTCTGCCCCCCTTTTCCTGTGTCCCTCCCCCAGGCTTCCATACCCCCTCCTGGAACATGCACCCCAATCCCCTCCCCCAGATCACCACCCAAGCCCCCTGTACCTGCTCCTACATCCTCCCCCAGGCCAAAATCCTCTCCTGCACCCATTCTCCCTCCGAGACCCTGCCCCCCAATTTCCAGCCTCCGATCACAACACCCCCTCACCCAAACTCCCTCTTAGACCGCCACGCCCTCTCCTGCACCCGTCCTCTACCCCAAGCTCCCCTCTGCACCCAACCTCCCTCCCAGCCCCTGCAGCCCCTCCACAGAACCGTGTGGCCTCTTTCCAAAATCTTGAGTGCCCCCCTCCCTTCAAAAATGGCCTGCCCCTGCTCTGTTGCAATTGCTGTGGAGGAGACTGGGAATGATGGGGAAGAACAGAGCAGCAAGACTCCTCCCAAGTGGAGTGCATCAAAAGCCAGCTTAGGGGGGTGTCTGGGATGCTATGGGGACGCTCACCTGACCCAGCCGAGCAAGGTTCAGCTGTTTCGTTACCAGTCTCAAGTGTCAGTCAGCCCCTTTGACTCTGTATCAAGTGCTGGCCACCTACTGGATGCGAATGTTTCAGCTTCCTCTCTGGAGTTGCCTCTTAGGCCCGACTGGCTGATTCCACTTGAGTTCTAGCCTCCTGTGAACACCTTTTCTGTCCTGACCCTCTCCCCATCCTGATGTGTCTGCCTTCCGAAACTGGCAGCCTCCCTGGGTCCCTCTTTGTGCTGCTAACAAAGCACCCGTGTCGCCTGTTGCCAACAGTCGGGCTGATTTCCTGCCGGATGGAGGCAAGTGCAGCGTCCAGCCCTGGGCGTCTGGGAGACGAGGCTGATTGGACTTGATCTCTCTGCCAGAGCTAGAAAACTGCTCCCTGTGTAGCAGCCCTTTGATCAAACTCCCTTTGATGGGCGCTGGCTTTCTCGGCTCCAAATGCAGAGGGGAGTTTTCTCCTCCCAGCGGTGGCCGTTGGCAGCGGGGGTGGGACCGTGTTTATAAAGACGCACTGCTCCAGCTGCAGTAGATTGATCTGGCTACTTCCAGTATTAAGAGTAAATGTTTTGCACTTGTATAACCCCCCTCCAAAGGTCAGGATTCCTGGGCAGTCTTCCCAGCATGCGTCCTAGGTGCAAGTCTCGCCTCCCCCAACGCCAGATACAGAACCAAAGTGTCCAACTCGGCTCTAGCCACCGCTCTGTGTTCACAGCAGCACTTGCTGAAGCAGGGGCAACGTGGGGAGGACACAAGGGGACACGTACCCCCAGACACCCAGGGCATGAAGGGGCTGGCCAACAGGGTCAGTGTCCCTGGGCATCTTGGGGAGGCTAGTGGGGGATCCAGCCCCCTTCCCCTCTCCCACACACATACTAACCGGCAGTGGCAAGGGAAGCAAAGCAACGTGGCCCCAGTTTGCTCTGCATTCCTGGCTGCGTCGCGGGGGAGGGGAGCAGGACTGGCCCCACGCTCACCAGCGGGAAACGGAGTGACACGCGGCCGGGGGAGCAAAGCGAGCTGAGGCTTCCCCTGCCGCCGCTGGGGAG